GGAGTATGTATTCATAGTATGTACAATAGGTATGTTTAGATGTGCCTATTGTATATTTATAGATATTAATGGTATGTATAATATATTTAATAAGTATGTAGTTTCGCACTTCTTTCGATTTCTGTCTCTTTCTATGATCCCTCCACGATCCGTGCAAGTCCTGGCTTTGCAAACTCTGATCCACGGCACATCGGTAGTAATGATTGTTACCGTACAGTACGGTACTTCTACTTCTAATCATCCACTTGCCTTTCCGAACACGACCATCGCACCGGTGTGTTTTGGAAGAACCGCAATCGACGGGAACAACTGTATTAGCAACCAGGGAACCACAGCAGCGACACGGTCAAAAACTTTCACCGTAGCACAGAAAGAAACAGAAACAAACCAAACAAGACCATGAGCGGATTCCTGCCCGACCTCGCCAACTGGGCCCTGCGCGGCGGTGCGAGCGACAGCGGCGACGAGGCCGAGGCCGAGACAACGGGAGAGGGATCCCCGGCCGCCCCCCCGGAACCCGCCATCACCGAGGCCGACATGCGGGCCCGGCGGCTGGCGCGGATGGAGGCCATGCAGCGAAACCAGCAGCAGCAGCAACAGCAGCAGCAGCAACAACAACAACAACAACAACAACAAGAAACGCAAAAGAAACCCCAGCCGATGCAGATCGACACGACCCCCCCGTCCGATTCGACCGCGGCACCGATGGAAACCGAGGAGACCCCGCCGCTCACCAAGAAAGCCAAGGGAGATCCGTCCCACCGCGCAACGGCCGATTCCAAGCCGAAAGCAAAGCCATCGACCCCCGTGGATCCCGCCCGGAAGCTCCAGCGGAAAAAGGAGCTCCTGATCAAGAAGGTCCTCCAGGTCACCTGGACCCGGCCCGGATCGGACAAGCCGRCCCACGACGACCCGTCCTGCCTCGCCATCGAGCTGGACGACGCCACCGAATCCGGGGTCCCGGCCATCGACGAGCTTCTGGCCAACCGCCTGTCCCTGCCGCCGGGCAAGCTGGAGGAAACCTCGCCGGCCCAGAAGCCCTTTGTTCTGTACCTCGCGTCCGTCCACCGCAGGGCCGCCGGGGAGGCGAAGACCCTCCGCCAGCAGCAAAARGAGTCGAACGCCCCCCTCCTGGAAATGCTCCAGTCCATCCAGAACCAGGTGGTGTCCTACGCCGCCAGCGGGCTCATGATACCCGACATGTTCGAGCAGGCCAGCGGCTCCAGGGGACAGCTCCTGCACGCCGTGGTCAAAACCTGCGGGGGAGGGGATCCCATGCAGGCRATCACCTACGGGGTCCGGAACGGAAAACCGGACTCGAGTTTCTACCACCAGCTCTGCGACGAGCTGCAGGACCAGGACGCCTCGGCCTTTGAAGCGGTGGTCTCCGGCCTCGCCAACAAGATCTGGGAGAGCCTCAAGCAGTGCGAAACCATCGACTCGACCGTCACCGTTGCGTGCGGACAGGGAGGATCCACGGCCGCGGTCACCTGCGGCCCCACCCAGCTGGTGTCGGCCCTCCAGGCCGTCTGCGGACACAAAAAGGTCGCCGCCGTGGTGGCCAACGGAACCGGCTTTTTGCTGCCGCCTCCGGGGACGCCGGAAGCGGCCGRAACGATCCGCCCCCCGATGCCGGCCGGGGCCGACCTTTTCCGGATGCTGGCCGGGGCCAACACCCCCAAGCCCTACAAGAAGCGGAGCGGGGTGGGGCTGGAGCGCCACACGCTGCTGGGGTCCGTGCTGAAGATTTCGACGCCCCGGAACAACAACCCGGCCTTTTCGTCCATGGACGTCCTCCGSCAGTCCCCGACCGCCCTCGAGGGGGTGACGCAGTCGCAGCGSAGGCAGATCAAGCTGTACCAGACCCTCTGCAACCAGCTGGTCATGGGCTTTGTCAAGGCGGGGAAGGAACCCCGGGACAAGCTCTTTCGGTGGTTTGCGGACTGCCAGAAGGTCAATTTGGGAGCCACCGCCATGAGGCCGGACTACCAATCGAAGGTGTCGAGCCCGGGATTGCTGCTGAACGTCAGCGTGGTCCTGCTCAAGCTCTCCGAGCCCTTTGTGGCGGACGAGGCGAAACACGGGTTGATCGATCCCCTCTTTGTCCTGAGCGCCGGGGACAACCGCGGGACCTTTCCCATCCGGACCGAGGGGGGAGGCGACGATTCTTTGCCGCGCCTCGGCGACGAGGGCAACGAGGGCACAAGCACGGGCGACGACTCCACCACTCCGCTTTACAAACCAAAGAACGCCTTTATTCCCCAGTGTTTTTTTTACACGGCGAGGTCCCTGAACCTGGGCATCGTCCCGCTGCTGAGCCAGCACGAGAGCCTCCTGAGGCACCTGTCCCACAGGCACTGGGAACTCAACAACAGCAACACGGACATCTTTAGCGATCCCCAGTTTCGGATTCTCCTTTCCAGGCAGCGATCCCACGAGGTCCCCCTCTTCCAGGAAGAAATGGTGACCGACACCCTCCGCTTTTGCGACCTGATGGCAAAGACCCTKTACCAGATGGAAAACGACGACATCCTCAGAAAGATGCCGGAGCACTTTGTCGACGACCTCTGCGAGATTCTGATGGGCGTGGCGAAGCTCCAGCCCAAGCTGCTCAGGGGCCTGCAGTTCAAGCACGTCTTTTTGCTGATGGTCAAGCTCCTCAGCCCGAAGTACGCSCCCATGATCCGCAACTACAACCTGCGGGCCACGCTCGGGGACGTTCTCTACGAGCTGTACCTGCCCGCCGACGGGGARCGGGCCAGGCGCCGGCGGGACGTCCCGGAGAGCATCGCCCTGGACCCCTCCAGGGGCGGCCGGTCCTACCTGCTCTCCGACGAGTCGGCGCAGGAATCCCTGGCGCCCTCCCTGCTCCTCTTGTACGGAGAGGTTGAGTACACGGGCCACTACGAGAAAATGTCCCACCGGGCAAAGATCTCGTCCCTGCTCAAGTACCTTTGGGAGTCCAAGGAGCACAGGCCCGCCTTCCAGCAGATCACCCAGAACAAAGACTCCTTCATCAAGTTCGCCAACGGCATCATCAACGAAACCAACCAGCTGATCTCGACCGTCATGACCAAGCTCCCGGAGATCAAGACCGCACAGGAGCAAATGGCCGATGCTGCCGCTTGGGGGCGCCTGACGGAGGAAGAACAGTCCGACGTCACCAGCCGCCTGGACGACAACGAGCGGGAGGTCAAGAGCGCCCTGCCCCTCTGCAACAAGACGATGCAGATGTTTGGCTACCTCAACACGGACCGCGAGATCCGGGACCTCTTCTTGCTCCCCGAGCTGTGCCCCCGCTTGGTCAACATGCTCATCCACGTGCTGGGRAAACTGGTGGGGTCCAAGGGAGTCGAATTGAAGGTACGTACGGCAATCATAYAGACGAGCGAGGCATGCATGCGCATTGCGAACGAACCAAGGACCGAGCACRTTTYATCTAGGAATAGCTGGCTGGCCGTCTTTGGCYYTGTCCGAAGGCTGCTACGAATGAAAACGAAACWCTCACGCCGTTTTTAACTAATTACCCTTATCCACAGGTCAAGGATCCGGAACAGTACGAGTTCCGTCCCAAGGAGATGCTGCGCGATCTTTGTGCGATCTTTGCCATCTTTGCCTCGGCTCGGGACTTTCAGCGGGAATGCGCCAAGAGCGGGTGCRACCCCAAAACCCTGAGGGAGGCCGTCAAAAACTGCCAGAAATTCAACCTCCTCACCGGAGACTCCATCGCGGCGTTTGAGTCCCTGCCCGAYCTGGTGGAACAAGAACTGGACGTCGTCAAGGCCGACGAGGCCCTGATGGAGGACGCACCCGATGAATTCATGGACCAGATCATGGCAACCTTCATGAGGGATCCGATCATTCTTCCCAGCGGCCACGTTGTCGACCGGGCAACCATCACACAGCACCTGCTGAACGATCCCATGGACCCTTTCAATCGCGAACCCATGACGATCGATGACATAAAGCCAGCCGTGGASCTCAAAGCCAAGATCGACGGCTGGCTGGAGCAGAAGCGCTCGGCCCAGGGAAAATAGGCTAGGCCGATCGAGTCACCACGGAGTGGGAACGCAGCACTGCCGGTCCCCAATGGATTCGAGCACACAGTGGCGACGCTTCAGAATTCATCGATTGCTGCTACGAGAAAACGAGTCTCACTGATTTACGATACTAGTCGAACGGCAACAGCACCGGCAACCTGATGCAATGCAGTACAATACACGGAACGGGAGCAGGGCACATAGACATGAGTTCTGTGGTTSTAGGATCTCATAATCTCGCATTATCATTTCAATCTTTTAGAAAAAAATAATGATGGCCTTTTTCCTCATTAAGATGTATGTATTGGTAATGATCACGTGTGGTGCAATGGCTTGTCCGATRGTCACAATTTTAGAATAGGAAGCTCGCATGTAGGAGGCACTCGGGATGGTGCAATCGTTGGCTCTTCAGACCTTCTTGAGCGAGGCGCTTCTGGATCGCAGATTGTAGGGGCAACCCTTGGGTGCCTCGACAAGGGCTTTGCTGGGTGCCGATCCGGGATTCTTGCCGCTTGGTTCCTTCTCGACGGTACCGGTGTGGTCTCGGTCCGTKTCCTCGTCTTCCGCCATGCCCAGGCTTCGCCTCTGGTGGATTTCCCACAACTCCTCGCCGACCGAAGACGACCGGCGTTTGCGCGGCAAGTGATCGTGGYCGTCTTCCTCCTCCCGCAATCGCCTCAAGTGGACGAGGTAGAGCTCCTCACCYGGGGTCGTCGCGTGCTTSTCCAGCGTGGAGGTTCTTTTGGGATAGGTCGCCATGGTCATCTTGTTGCTACTTCGTGCAAAACTACTGCAAGTAAAAGGATGTAATCGTTTGGTGTTCTTTTCAGGGAATTTTGAGATCGGCGAATCATATMATTTCCACAGGTCTACTGTTTATTAGAAGTACAWACAGTGAGAACCTTTACTRCCATAGGTGAATGGGAAACCATTACAACACACAACATGAACAATCGAATCACCAAAATCTCTTCCGAATGCTTCGATCTTTGACACGAAAAGCATCAAAAACAAAAAGTGTCGGAAAGGAGGTTGGGAAAAATCCGAAACGCGAGGTAATTTTTCAATTTTTATTAACGGTACATTCTCGCGTCTTCGAATTGAGGGTAACAGTAAGCATCACATGCCGCGAGCACGCGCCCAATCTGAGATACGAGTACGTAAGTACGTAATCGCAATACGAGTAACGGCATGCAGTTGAGCGAGATACGGTAGACGCCGTTCAACATTCCAGCACGAGTGCATGTAGCGTACGGTACAACGAACTCGTACACTACGTACTACCTTCTTTAAATTCTGAAATCACGATTATTCTTCAGGATGAATGAAATCTTGTCCGAGGAAAGCAATGCGTCGGCAGCACGATTTGCGAATTGAATTTGGACTTCAAAGGGCCTTGAAATAAGTGCAGAAATTCAACGCAAATAGKCAGAAGCAGAGGAAAAGAGAATCGATGAACATGAATGCACATTCMCTCCCTCTCTTTCGTTTGTTACTAATTTTGCCACTGTTGTTTGGTCGATGCCTATTCTCATCGGCATTTTCAGTCCAATCACAGTCACTGAAGCTCGCTCCGAAAGCGTCGAGACGATCGCATTTGCTGGCCCGACCTGAAGACGAAGAGTTTTTGAAGAAGAAGCGAGAAATAGAAGAACAGCAAAGGGAATGGGAAAGAAAAATCAAAGCRAAAAACGAGCGAAAGGCCAGCGGGAAAGGCGCCGATGACGCAKCGACGACAAGCGAGAAAATCACCCCAAACGGTCAAGAAAAGGATGAAAATGACGATGCCTCTAGCTGTACGCACTTTGTATCTAATGATGCGATAACTTTCGCTCAAGCTCATTCGGCGGAACTCATTGCCTTGGCTGGCCCCAAATTTGATGGTGATCTACTTGGTGTAGGCGGATTGGACGACGTTATCGCCGAAATCAARAGGAGAGTCTGGACGCCGCTGGCCGCGCCACCTTCCGTCATGGACGAGCTAGGAATAACACCGGTAAGAGGGGTTCTACTYTATGGAAGCAGTGGTTGCGGTAAAACCTTACTAGCAAAAACCATTGGAAAGTTGCTCTCTCCTTGCCGGCCGATAACTGTCGTGTCGGGACCTCAGCTCATGGACAAGTTCGTGGGATCGAGTGAAAAGAATTTGCGCGAACTATTTGACAATCCTTCTCCCGTTTACGATCCCTACCGTATTTCCGGAGGAAAAGGCATGGACAATGCTGCATTGCACGTGATTGTGCTAGACGAATTCGACGCCATGGCCCGTACAAGAGGTGGTGATGACAGCTCTAGCACGGCTGCRGGGGTGGCTAGAGACTCTGTGGTGAATCAAATATTGAGCAAAATGGATGGGGTAGATCCGTTGCCCGTCCCTACTTTGGTCATTGCCATGACAAACCGCCCGAACCTGATCGATCCCGCCCTATTGAGACCGGGACGGTTCGAAGTTCAGGTCGAGGTTCCCCCACCTCAAACGACAAAGCAACGCATGGGTGTTCTAAATGTGCACATGAAGCGCATGCACGAGGCTGGGCGCCTTGAGGTCAAGGACGCGCCAAAGGATGGTTATGTCAGTCCCCAGTGTGCAAAGCAGGCCAGCATGACTTACCAGGAACTACTTGCGTACTTGTCAGACCAGTGTCAAGGTTTTTCGGGTGCGTCTCTGGCTGCGATTCCAAGGGCCGCAGCTAGCCGGGCATTGGAACGAGCTGTGTCCCAATACTCGACCGACCTAAAYATGAACATGAAAGAAAACAAGGGCAAGCAAGACGCTATTGCCATGTTCAATTGCATTGTTTCTTTAGAAGACTTARAAGTTGCGGTGGACGATGTGCGGAGAAGTGCCACAAGAAAACTTCGGCATTCTCTCAATGGRAGTATCAACGAACAACCCCCGAATGGCACTCGAAATGGCGTGAACGGGAACACAGAGATCGAGACTCTYTCAAATACACCAGCTATATAGACTWAATCGTATACAATAAAATTCAACCTAGTTGTCGTCTATAGCAATTCTGTGCTGACAAAGCACGGCTGGGGGCAATCGGTACGTACGTGCCTCGCACCGATGAGGTTCTTACTATAAGATGCAARACAATTGAAGGCTGACATTTGGTACTCGTCAGATGGCCGCGAATGAATCATGTCTGTCGMCATTAACTACTAGCAGAGAGGTTTATTTTGCTTCCCACAAATAGATACTGTTAACAACGAAATATGATTCCAGTATGCTAGATAAGGGAACAAGATGAAAAGAACGAGCTCCATGTTGGTCGAAAGCCTTCAAATCCTTGGTTAGGTTGTGACTAGCACTAGCATACAAGTAGATACTGTAGTTCTACCGGTATTGATAGTGCAARCATACCGGTACAAAGCGGATTGTAGGAAAAGGTCGAAAGTCTTTTAGTACATGATCATACATATGTACCATATGTACTCGTTGATGTTACAGTAAGTACTAAGTACTAAGTACAGAACTTTACTTCGTGCTAAAGTCGGATTGAAAGAGCGAAGAGAACAACACCGTGAGGAAGACGGGCTCATGACCAATTCAATCCATGGATTTGTAAGGACCAATGACCAATGACACGTATGAGCAAATCCATTATTTTCAGGGACTGCACGAACTCTACGGTACAAGGATAGTGTACTCGTACCAGTTCTCTTTTCTACCCCCCCCCTATTTGTTTTTTGAAAGAAGAGAGAGAATAACGGTACAATTTGACAGATACAGTATGATTTGTTTACCTCACTGGCAGTTCGAACTACCGTACTGTTCTACGAAGTGATTTTGATGTCACCTGCCTCCGGTACATTACATCATCCTGCTAAAAACTGAATACCGTACCGTACCGTACCTTCGTAAACCACTCTATGAACCTTATGGCACTCCTTCTACGAAGTACTAGTAGTACAGAAATGCCGGAGACTAGACTACGTCTCCAAGCAAGCAAGGTTGCGCTACTCGTTCGTACAGTACCCTACGCTACGTAAGGTACGAGTACACGTAAGGTACGAGTACAGTAGGATATCATTTTGTGTTTTGAATACAGTATTCAATAATACTGTTTTGACCAGTACCCCTACCTGTATTGAACGATCCTTTACCGTACATGCGGTAAAAACATKCTTGGTGGACGAAACTGCTCGCCTACCGTGCCTACCGTAATGTGCAACAACAACAAAAATAGTTAGCGACATACGGTACGATAACTGTACAAAAGGGTACATTTCTGGTTTCGAGGGGTGCCACATTTCGACATCTGTTTTCATCGATTCCAACTCCTACTGGTACTGTAGTATTTTCTCTCCGTATCAGAGAGCGAAAGCCGATAGTAAAGGGCACCAGCTACACTGGTCTATCACAATCGAATTAAAGGTGGAGTATTCTTCTCTATAGTACTTACTGAATTAGGTGTGTCGCTCTCACGAAGTCGAGTCGAGCGTGAAAAAAAAACTAAACCAAACAGATAGGAATCCAACCGAACGGTACGATYAAGAACCATTTCCAGCAAGATGTCGAGCAACAGCAATCGAGACAGCGGCTACCCCTCCGGTGATAAAAAGGGCGCCGAAGACGACYACGAGAACCGTGATCAAAGCCGCAGCCGATCCCCTCCCCCACGCCGGGGGAGCGGGGGCCGRAACAGCCGTCGCAGTCGCTCCCGGAGCTACTCGCGGTCCAGGTCCCCCCCAAGGGACAGGGGCCGCCGCGACCGCGATCGGCGACACAATTCGTCTCCGCCTCGAGATCGTCGGGGCGGAAGAGGCCGCTCCCGGAGTTTTTCAGGCTCCAGAAGCCGCTCCCCGCCACGCGTGAGTTCAATATTGTTTTCTTGTTTTTTTTGGTCATGTCACGCAATGTCGTGTTGTAATGAAACGTATTTTTTGTGGTACCCGGTCAGCGCAGTTCGATGCCAGCCTCATGTCTAAATTACATACGTGATGCGGTACACTGGACAACCCAACAGCAAACAAACGCATTCCTCATAGTTTTGTACACTTGCTTATCTCTTCTTGTTCAATGAATACGAAAAATATGTTCGTTGTGGTTTCTGATCCATGCTCCATGCCTTTGTTGGGAACGAAACAGGGAGGACGCTACGACCGGGACCGGGGTCGAGACGACTCTTACGACCGACGTGGACCTCCCGGAGGCGGGTACGACCGCGGSCCCCCCGACGACTATCACCGTGGTGGTGGTGGCAGACGATACGACAATCGTGGCGACTACGGACCCAGAGGCGGGCGAGGCAACCGTCCGCCACCGCACCATGACAACCACTACCACCACGATAACCACCATGGTCCCCGAGGCGATCCCTACGGACCGCCCCGCGGCCGAGGACCTCCTCCCTACCACAACCAAAACAGGGGTGGTGGTGGTGGAGGCCGAAGGGATCGCAACCGCCGCGACGAGGGCATACCGGGAATTTCCCTGTTGGTGAGGAACATTGGTCCCCAGATCACGAGCCACGACCTCGGCTTGGCYTTTGGGCGCATCGGGGACGTCCGAGACGTGTACATCCCCAGGGATTATCACTCGCAACAATCCAAGGGCTTTGCCTTTATCGAGTACGCCGATCCCGAACGTGAGTCGAATAATCGCAGCTGTCTCGTTCTTGGAGTATTCATTGGCTTCRCACTTTGCTTGCCTTGTTTTCTTCGTGCATTTCTAATGTCCTGTGCACATGTTCTTTTTTCCACTGTTTTCTTTGTTTTTTCAGAGGCTCGAGAGGCACGTGACGAGATGGACCGATTCCGCATCAAGGGGTGCGAATTGGAGGTTGTGTTTGCCCAAGAGCGCCGAAAGTCTCCGAACGAGATGCGGGGACKGGTGGTCAACCAACAGAACCATGGTGGCGGTGGTCGCAACAACAGGGACCGATCCTCCTCCTTTGAACGTCACCAAAGACGCCGACGCGATAGCAACAACAACAAGGACAGAAACAACAACGACAACGGAGAGAAAAAGATGGATTCGTCGGACGAGAATGATGGCGAGAAAAAAGAGCAGTCTCCTGTTGCCAAAGACGGAGAAGAATAAAGAGATAGAAAGAAAGAAACGATATTCGTCGGAAACAGTAACTGCGCGATTGCATTTTGTACGCTTGATCGCGACTTTCAACATGAGTGGTCGAAGAATTCGTGAGTATTGAATCTTGACCATGCATCTTTTAGGATTCAAATGAAGAGAATCAAATGAAGAGAAAAACGGAACTAGGGTAAGTATTCATAWAAAGATTCAAATAGCGGGGAGCAATCGTCGTGGCCGAATCAGAGTCGTCGACGGGTGCACCCCGGTCGTTCAAGTCGGAACAGGTTTAGCGAGTATGATAACAAATTAGTGATGGAAGTAGTGCTCAAACCAAGGCAAGACAAGAAGCAAGAGATGCCGAAGCACTTTCCATCTTATCCATGGATAGTAAAGAATCACCAAGAAGTAATTTTAATCAAGTTCATCGTATATGTACACAAGCCCCAAGATCACAAGAATCACSCATTATTTCTCTTCCCACAAGACAGCCTGTGTATTTTTCATTCATACCAAGCGAGGATTGTTTTCCTTTCTTAGTGTTACAAACTCCTGTGTTGCATGTTCCATTCTGATGCCACCCAAGGCCCTACATGCTTACCATACCAACACAAAGACGCAATGTCGAGCGTTTTTGCCTGAATTTATTTTGCAAGTCGAAAGCAAGKTGGGCCACTTTCTATCCTATCGTACGATACCGATTTTCTATTTCTGAAAGCAAGAAYGGTGTCGAAATTGGGATGAGAGTTTTCTCATTCTACAAAATCGCTAGTCACTCGGAGGGGTCAACCACGCACAGAAAAATCGTATTAAAACTACAACTAGTGCTTCCGGTTGCTGCGATGCGAGGCAGGCAGATTCGGCAGATTCCCATTGGCATTATTGCGAACAATTTCAAAACGGATTCAACTAGATCTTTCCTTTCTCTGATTGAATGCTCTTGGGCTGCCCATGCGAATTCAAACCGAATCCTTTTTGCCCCTTGTGTCTGAAYACCCATGGGATGCTATTTGCGTTAAAAAAGATTGGATACACAAGCAGATGAAAGTACTAAAAACTTGTTCTTTCGTTACGATCGCTGGAGATTTTTCACGTCTACCTTAGTGTTCTCGTGCTTTTTGAATGGCTATATTGTAGGAGTGAATTACGAGGGCAACAGACTAGAAATTTGTTTTCACATTACAGTTACTACTAGGCTAAATTTACTACAAATACATTTGTGTTTGCTTTGAAAAAATATTTTATACAAGTTCATAATTTTCTAATTTTTCTTCTTTGYTGCTTGAAACGGAAGAAGGAAAACTGTAGCTCGTAGCGATGGTGGAAGAATTGCATTAGTATCTTGTTTTCGCTTACTTTTCCCCGTCGTATGTTGTGTTGATCTCCGTGCAGCTGGGTCATAGATATCTTATTATCTTATTGTGGGCCAAAAGTTTCTTCCGGATTTCGACTTCGCGTTCGTCGAAAAATGATCCTTGTGGTATTGTTTAAATCTTTGTGTTTCGACCAAAATGCAAACATTCCAAATGCTATGCAGGATTTATTCAATTTAAGGTTGTGTGACATCTCCCTTCTCAAGGTATAGCTTCTTAACATCGGGATTGACTTGCTCCAAGATGAATTTCACWGTGTTTTCAAAGTCAGGAATGTTTCGCATCTCGAATTTGGCACCGTCTCTCAAAAARGCAACCAAGTCACCGTCTCCAAAAAGTCGGTTGACGGTTCGCAATTCGGTAATGTCGGGGTAGACAATTTCGGCCATATCCTTTCCTCCAATTCCAGAGGTGACACGGATTCTGCGGGTGGTGATCTTGTATCTGACCCATGCTTGTCTGCTCCACGAGGCAATGGCGGGAATGATTCCGACGACGGTCAAAATAGAGACGGTGGGGATGATGGTTTCGGTGATGGCGGGTGGTCCCTCGTAGTGYACTTCTTCGGGTGCAAGCGTGACAGAGGCCTTGTCCTTGCCAACGTTCTTWGCAACAGGTCCTCCCTTGCGCTTTCCACGCTTTGCCTGTGATCGWCGGTGAAAAAGTTTGGAAAATGAGTGAGCRGGCCTCAAATTTWAAAAAMAMMMTATATAAAATGACAGCATCAAATTTTCTCTTTTCAAAAACACACCTTTGCAGCTCCGCGTCCAAGCATTTCAACGGTACCGAGGTCGATTTCACCCTCTTCGGCGGGTTCACCCTCCGATTCGGCAGGAGGTTTGAAGACAGCTTCCGGAGATTCTTCCGCGAACAAGGGGGAAAGAGCTGATGGCCTGACACCCGACAAAGCCGACGAGGCAGGAGCAAAGGCCTCGGTCGAGTGAGCAGCKACAGCCAAGATGGCCATAGTGGCGATAAGGGATTGGTTTGGCATGTTGATAATTATTGCAAAAGTTATAGTTGTCGTGGATGGTATATTATGATTTTAGGGATGTCGACGCTTCTGTTTCTGTATCTAGTCACAGAGTAGTTGTCTTTTTGGGTGTTCGGATGTTTGTCTCACAAAATAGCTGTCGTGGTCGTCGCGTCAGTGAAAAGGTGACAAGTAACAACCTGATGAGTATGGAGTGCGCCTCGTACAAAGCAGTACTTCAACTGCCTAAAAAATATGAACAGCACTACTAGTAGTGGTCGTGCCACTTGAAAACTCTCGATTCAGTCATGCACTCAGCAACATCTGCGTAAACAAACTATCAAAAACGTGGATCACTCGCATGTGACTGACTGAGTGATGAGATGARTGAGCAAGAACCATAGTACRGTAATGTGTTTGATTGAAAAGGGGTAATTTAGTTTTAGGGAACGATAAMAATCCCCCTTCTCCTGGAATGAAGTTTTCGATGCAAAAGCCGAAACGATGCGAAACTCGTGTACAACTTACATACGATTACTATTGTACAGTGAAGTACATAGTACAATTGATGTACAATAAGTACTGACCAATAATACAGTACGAGCATTCTTCTGTGTTCTTACGTGAGAGAACTCGGTATTCGAAATCATCGTCATCACCATCATCATCGCAGAACGATAGCAATGCAAAGCACAGTAACTTGGAAAGAAGATCTCCCGTACGAGTCGAAGGATGCCGCTGATTGGATCCTTCTAGATCGATGACATCTTGGGAACTCGAACTGGAAGACACGTCGTGACGATATCATTGCAGTTCTTGATACCATACGATGATTGTCAAAACTACAACGCCGGCAACAAAAACGGTAATGCCTTCCGACCCGTCTATACGGGGCAATGCATTCTTCTCGGGTAGACCGGSAATCGAAGGAACTTTCGGTTGCAAGAACTGGAACAATGTCAAACTCAATGTGAACGACCATCGCGATGCCTTTGGGCGTTCACGGGTGCAAGTGCGATTGGCGGTATCTCTTACCCTTGCCGTTTTGCCGGKTGCCTCCCTGATTCCATCGTYCGCCTATAGTCTCGTTCCTTTGTCWATCTCCGCACCTGCCACTCCTCCAACTGTCCAGAGCATCACTGCTCAACCGTCCTCCATAATAATAAGCAACGCAGCATCGGAACTGGACCAACCCACGAGACAATCCTTCGATGCCGCCCGCCTCCTGCTGGAGGATTTCAATTTCAAGAAACGACMCAAACTCCCGGCCTCCGTCAAGAGGCAGATGGATATGCAAGACTATCGCCTTGCCAACTGCCGTGACTCGTCAGAGGCCGGGAACTGGGACCAGTGCTTTTTTTATGGAATGGACGGTGCTAGCGGCGGCGCGTTTGGGGCTGACAACGAGGGAGGAAGAGCATACTATTTTAGCGATGTAACACCGACCTCGCCAGCATCATCATCAACGACGGCGAGTGGGAAACCCAAGGTTCCAACCTGGTAAAAGGAAATATTTTTCAGCTGTATTGGCAGCTCATCTTCGAAAATGCGTTGCCATGTCACTTGTATATTTAAGATGATTTTCGACATGCGGAAAGTTTGTGACCACAATATTTAACGAAGACAACTTGATACGTACAACAGGTGAAACTCGATAAAAAACGGTCCAGTATGCCACGCAATGCATACCTAAAATTTAGACTAGTTTSAGATAGATTTCTGGTTCGGTTTTCAAATATTCATTGCTCACGGCGATTGACCAACTGAMTCCTTGAATGGACCAGGTTTGTATTCTTCTTCCGCATTTTTTCAACAACTAGTGTTGCGACATGCAACCGCAATGGTTATCGCCAATCAGTGGAACGAAACTTTCAGATTAAGAGTACTTTCCAAATAAGCCTTTCGCTTTTCAATGTCGATCCGCGAATTTGTACCGCCCCTCCTCATGGGCCTTCGGCGTGAGGGGGGCGTTGTCATTGGTTCGTGACAGCTACGGTTTCCACGGRGTGGTAACAAGTGGTTCGTCCCTATGCTGGGGGAACCCAAGGAGTGCATGCTGACGCTAAGACCACTGGGAGCCTTTTTTCCGCGGACTGGTCGAAGCGACTTTGATTTTCCATAGCTATTCAAACTCGCGTGGCTGCTGACGCTGAGCGGATCGGTAGGTCCGCGGTTCAACTGGTTGGTTTTGTTGATTGTGCTTTCGTGGTCGCTCCTGTTGAGAGATTCGGAGGGTCTGCGRGGGCGGATCATCATAGATTCGTATCGAACAAAGGGAGAGACAACCTGTCGATCCTCGTCCAWTTTTTTCTGGAAAGTGTCGGGAAGACCAAGACGCCGCCTCTGCGAATGGTCGGCAAATAGGAGAGAAGCATATACATCCGTCCTCTTGGGAAGATTGGCATGCATGTATTTCATCGCTCGGCCATTGACCCGGTGGTGCTCTCGAAAAGTTTCTCCGTGAATTCCCGTGTTGGTCTCCACGTAGACATCCCCTAAATGCGACTTGCAACGATGGCAATGTATTTCCGCATAGTTTTCTCCTAGGGTTCGCGACAAGACGTAACCGGTGTGCTTGCCCTCCAATGATTCGTCGTCGTCATCTTCCGACTCGGAGTCAGAATCAGATTCAATGGGTTTCTCGACGATTGTTGTGCTGCCCCCGTCCCTTCGTCTTAACATTTCTTCGATCAGTTTGTCCAGCATAGCTGTAACTCTGCTTCGGCATTGACTCCCTCGCACGAATGCCTGTATTTTRATGCATGCCTTATCTTCTGTTTCGATCTGCGCCTTGCGATCGGCAGCGGRGATGATACCGATCGCTCCGAGAACACAGGCCCCGAAGGCCGGCCACCCATCGTCGATGTCGAATTTTGTGTCGTGCGAGTACAGCGGGTTCCCGCATGCCTTGCAGCAAAAATGCCCTACCTTCGGAAAGAAACGATTATACTTGGAAAAATAGGGTTGCTCGAGATTTGCTTTGTTGCCTCGCATGATGTCGTAGTCCTCGATTTTCAGTGCCTTTTGAAAGAATTGTTTGCCTTCCTTGGGTTCGTAAACCGTCCGRCAGGTGGCGTCTCGTGTTGGTTTGAAATTGTCTTTCTTCCAGTGATCCAGGGGATGCCCATCGACCTCAAACATCCTTCGTCGTTGAGCTGGGCTTAGCTTCTCGGTTCTCTTTTTTCCGGTTTTCTTCTTTCCATTCTTCTTCTTTTTGATAGATTTCGTCCTGACGAGTTCAGGGGGTTCCTTTCCGGGAGGATCTCGATCTGCATTCATGATTTCGACTTCGTTGATATTGAATAGTTTTGCCGATAGAGATCCCTCGGTGGGAAACTTATTTATTCCCTTTCTCCTTTTTGCTACCATCAATTGGTGGAATTGCGAACTGTGTCAAACAAATGAAAAAAATCCGCAATAAGATGTCCGACCCTCGACACAATGTGGAATGCAAGTCATGGAGAACGCGATCTCTCTCTGGAAAAGTGATCAATCTCAGTAGCTTTTGATGCTGCTGCTGAAAGTTTTGATTTGTCGGACACTTCTACCGCTTTGTTTTGTGTCTGTTAATACGATACTACTTTTCGTCGTGACAGGATTTT